ATAAATAATGTTCACTGTGGTAAACGAAATAATAATTTGATCTAAGTAAGAGTTTTTTTCCTTCCCGATTTGTAAAAATATCCTCACGTGATAGAAAAAAATGAATATTATTTTCGAACTCTGCTAGGCTGAATTAATGAAAATCCGTTATTAAAACCAAAAACAACTTTTATGAAGTTTACATTCGCAGGCCTGTGTAATTCAATAATTAAATATAGCAGTTATGAGCCTATTTACAAACTATTATATTTTTTCTCATGTAATTCTTTATGACAGCATGGTTTTTAGAGTATTACATAGCTAATTTAACAATTACTTATTCTAGGATCGGAGATGAAAAGTAAAATAAGTAAAAGATTAAGAAAAACACTTGGCCGAATATGGTGTTTTAAAGATGAAAACAGACGTGGTTGCAACGTGGGAGTTAATCAAAAAGTACCATTTTCTTACCCCAGGAGTTTGTTTTGTTAGATATCCTACAAAGCTTCTCATCCCTAATTTTGAAGTAATAGACTTACTTAGAGTGAAGAAAGTTCTTCGGCTACTTGTTACTAACTAATAGTGAAATTACCCTACACATTGTAACGCCCCCACGGATGAAATGGCAAATATGTTCGGTTACGGGAACCTGCAAAATTCGATTCGAGTACCATAACCAATACAAGGATGTTATTTTGAGGATGCTATTTCGAGGATGTTATGCTGTTTCGAGGAGGTTATTTCCCGAATAATGTAACAACACATCCCGTTTCGAAATGATTCAACGCGATTAAGAATTTCTTAGAGTTTTCATATACATGTTAAAAGAGCCACATTAATTCGTAGATAAAGAAGAACGAAAGCGAGGAAATCGTAGAAGAATTTCAAGCAACTGTTTTTATATTTTGTAATTATCAACTTGTATTTCAAAAGTAACACTCTAGAGAAAAACAAGCTTATATTTTTAACGGTTTCACAACTGTTTTTTATTATTTTAAACAACTTGTTTGGTTGAATAATAAATTAATATTATCAATGATGCTGTATATTTTTAAAATTCCTAAATAAATATAGGATTACTGTGTAAGAAAAAAACATTTCAAAACACCATTGATAAAGCAATGTTACGAGTTTTGACTATATTGTTATCCTAAAAAAAAGAGGACTTTTTCATTTAAATAGTATCTTCAATCGATGAAAACAACTTACTTTCAAGCGTGATATAACCGTCAGAAAAGTATATAACAAACAACGGCGAAACAGTCGACAAATTATAATAACTTTGTTAACGAATGCACAAAAACACCGTTTCGTGAAACAGATTTTATAGGCTTTCCAATGAGGAGAAAACTGCTTATTTAGGGTATAAGAAAAAATAACAAATAACACAGGAGTCGAAGGGCCTATAATGTATTCTTAAGCTAGAATAGAAGTATGAGAAGTAAAACACACACAAAAACAATAAAGTAATAATGAAACTATTAAATTGCTGGGTAAAGTTGGAAGGAATAGATAATCACAATAAAGAGAGAAAATTAGAGTAAATAAAATAAATGAAATATAATTATGTAGAAATTGAATAGAGGCAACAAAGTAAGAAAATAATAACGAGTAAATGAACGCGTGCATAGCATAATATCGTCCAGCGAGATACAACAGTGAAGGTATAGGAATTTGTTATACGAAGAAAATAAACCGGATTGAGAACATTTTGAATCACTGTAGAAATTGTGATGAACAATCTTAATGTTTCACTTTAAAGTACGTATAAAAACACATTCAGAATGGTACATGAAAAGTGATTGTTACACTGCATTATTCAGGCATGTTTAGATCACATTCAATACAAATGTTTAATTTTATTTACTTGTTTTAGCTTGGAAGGCTATGAAAGCATTGTATCAGTATATTACCGCCATCTACTGTTACATATCGTTATGTTAGTTGCCTTAAAGAAGCAGACAAACAATGATTAAAAACAGATAAAAAATAAACACATTGGTTTCGAATCGATGTAACTTCAACAAAATATAACTATGTTCTTAATTTATAATGAGAATATATATATATAGACAATTAAGTTCAATTCTGGCAAGATTTTGCGAGCGCTAAACCTAAACTGAAAACACCAAACACCACAAATAAGTTTTAAAACGTGATGACTGTCGTTTATATGAAAAGGGGCAAATTTCAAGAAGGCTTTTTGTAAATCTATCACACTTTTGATATAAGAATTACTTAAGTACTGACATAAAAATATGTTTAGCTTGTTCTTTAAGTATAAAGCTACGCAATGGACTATATGCGCTCTGCCTACCGCTGATATCGAAATCTGTTTTTGAGCGTTATAAGTCCTCAGATTTACCGCTGAGTCTCCAGGGAGTTAAAAATTAAGTGTTAAATGATAACAGCATACCTTAACAACGAAAAAATACTTATAGGTTTTATTTCACAAATACTTGTACGATAAAAATCTGTTATTTGTGATAAATGCCGAAAATTGCTATCTAGCATATCCATAATTTACAAACCCCATTTCTGTTTAATACTGTAGTTTAAATCAGAAAATTGTTAACAACATTTGCACACGCACGCATATATATATTGACGCACAATTTCCCACCATTATAACTGCTTAGTCCCTCCCCCCTATTTTTTTAACTCTGCCTAAGTCTTAACTGTAGAATTATCAAAGAATCCCAATTGGCCTTTTAATTATATTTTGTTGTTGGTTACAGGTTCGTTAATAATATATGAGTCACACAAACATATCAACAATTAATCCCAATAATTATTGTTTGGTCATTCATATATTCTACATAGAAAATCTGTATTTTCGCCCATCCTTGTTTTGGGTTAGTTCTTTATACGAACCATTGTAACAGGTAAAAACAAAATTTACTCAAAAAGATGCAATATGCAGACCTCACATATAGTGAATGATACAAAAAGGTCGGTAAATGTAAGGATTAACAGGAATTTTTAGTTGAGACGACAAATAGGTATAAATCTGAAGTCCAAGATAATTTACTAGAGTTTTATTCATCTTTATGTCATTTATTCTGGATATCCAGTAAAGATGGAACAAAAATAAAAAATCTTAAAAATCTAGCGGATTTATAAAAGTTCAGATATGTTACTTTCTCCAAAAGGGCATTTTAAGATTTTCAATCGTTTCTTCTGTCTAACATGTCAATAACTGCGATTGATATTTAAGTATACCATTTGGTAAGGGCCTATCTGAAAACAATCTTTAAAATATCTGAAACGATCAGGGAATTATGTTAAACAGTAATAAAATATAATAATATATACGATGTCCACGTTAAATATAGAGGAAATGGATACTGAAGATTTATATCAAAACTTGATTTTTAGCGTCGTAAGCCTGCCGACTTACCGCTGAGCCACTGAGGGACAGATGAAGAGTTATAAATAAAACTGTTGTATTATCTAGAATTTTCATGCAAAACTAGCTCCCCATGGGATATTTGCGTTTAGCCGTCCCTAACTTTAGGGCAACAGCATTCACTACCACTTCTTGGACTACTTTTGTCTGATCGAACACCGGGATTTCACCTATAGCGCCTTATTACAGAGTGCGTTTTTGAAACAACAGGACGCGAACCACGAATCATTGTATTTATAGTTCAGGCATGCTCGGGCCAGAATGGTTTTACAAATATTTATTTTTAGCGCAAAGCTATACAATGGGCATCTTTGCTGTGTCTCGTTTGATTCGAACCACGGATTTTAGCGTTACAAGCCCCGAAATATACTGCTGAGCCATCGGAAAACAACACTAACGGAAATACAACGAAAATATGAGATACCGGGCAAGTTTTACAGGCAAACAATAATTAGAACAGGTTTTTGTCGCAAATACAGCACGATTGATGCAACAATGCTTAGGACAGATTTTAGTTCGAAAATACAGCACGAATGAAGCTCGCACGACGTTGTAAAATAAAATAATTCTAACCCCCAAAAAGAGAACTTAGTTTATCTAAGGTCCAAATTAAGATATAACCCAAATAGGGTCAAAAACAGACGATTTATACACGCTGCCTTTTTGTTTTTTTGGTCTATGTTATTCTTGAATTTCGTATTCTAAAATGAGTAACGACTTAAAAAAAAAAAACTTCAAAAAACCACATGCATAAAGAACCAGCGAGATGTTTAAAAACAACAACTTACTTACCTTAATTCTTCTTCTCGAGATTTCATTTCCTTTAATTCTTCCTGTATTTTGGTTTCTGTTGAAGAGATTGACTTCCTCTGCGGTTTTACAGACGATCCTCCTTTATCTAAGACCTGGTGTCCATTTGCTTTTCCAATTGGAAGTGTACCACTTGGGCTCTTTAAAGCCGGACTGGTGATGGAGCGAATTTCTTTGCCTCTACTGGCAATGAATTTCTGCATGCTGATACTACGACCAACTGTATTATGAGGAATATATTTTTTTCCAAGTGGGAATGTGGAAGAAGAGGAACTAGAAGAGCTGTTTGGAGACCGAACTTTGGGTAGACCGTTAACTCCAGCTCCGTTTACCTCTTTATTATTTGGGGCAGGAGCTTTTTCAAAAATTTGGATTGTGGGTGATGGAGGTTTTATTGCAGAATTCTCTAACTTTTGAGTTACATTAACGTACTCTTTAGTGAAATTCCCTGTTTGAATCGACTCTCCAACCCGGCTTACTTTTGCATCTGTTCGTTCCTGTGAAATAGTTTGAATTTGACCTGCCTCTCTGAGCGCCATCTCCCGTTGAGTTTGTTCTTCAATTTCTTGTTGAATTCTTGTAGTTGCCAGGGCTTTCTGTGTACCTTGTCTCCCATTTGACAAAAGAAGAGTGTTGGGTCTAATGTAGTCTATGGATGACTGTTTTGTGGGGGTTTGGAACCTGTCATTTGTTTTCATTTCAATAAAAGGTTGTTGCGTCTCTCTTTGTTTCCGCAACGCATCCTCCCGTTCTTTTGCTAATCGAACTTCCCGTTCCACCGGCGACTCCTTTAAAAGTTGAAAAACAGGCTTTTCTTCTTCCAATTCAGTATCTATAAGAGGTCGGACTCGAATTTCCTCTTTTCTTCTGAGAGATAGAGAGTGCACTGGAGTATTCTTATTTGAATGAAGAGAATCTCCAAATGGCAATTCTTTTGCGTTACTATTGGTTGTCGAATCAATAGAAGATAAAGATGTATCTTTTCCTATGTAGTTATTTTTTGCAGACCAAGTCTCGTGATCTTTAGTAGAAAAAGAATCCAAATGTTTCCTCATTTTGCGAAGTTCATCCTCTCTTTCTTTCAATTCCCTTATCTCCATGGCGATTTTTGATTCTGTGTTGACACTGTTGGGTGATTTCTCCGCGGTTTGATGCATGCTATCTTGAGGAGAAAGTGAACGTTGGGCACTAGAAGGACGGTCATAGTAGGTTTCGACTACAACAAAAGGTTTGCTAATTTCTTTCTTGTTTTCAAGAGAACGTAAGCTCTCTGCTTGATTGTGATCCCTTAAAAACGCTTCCTCTCGCTCTATTTGAGATTGAATTTCAATGTCAAGCACACTTTCTTCCATGACTACTTTATCTATATTTTCAAGCTCCATTGTTTTTAAAGCTGCAAAACCGTTTACTGCAGAGGCTTCGATCTCTTTATCTTCCGCAATGTTTGCTGAAATATTTGGTTCAAACTTATTTTGTTCTGTTGTAGTGAATGAATTATGAGCACCAGTGTCTCCAGTCTTTGTTTTTGATAACTCTACTGATTCTTCTTTTAATTTCTCGAATGATTTTTCGTACTGTGTGTCACTAGACACAGTAGGTTCTGAAGATCCTAGTGGTTCTTTTTTGTTTTCAATATTGACGAGGCTTATAGATTTAGATTCTTCTCTTAGATTTTTGTCTAAACTTCCTTCTATGAGTGTTGAATGGTTTGGAATTTCGTCATGTGGTTGACTCTCAGAAAATAATGAATGTTGTGGTTCAACAGCACTTTGAAGTTCTTGTATTGATATTGGGTCAGATACTTTTGACAAAAGGTCCGCTTCTGTATCTAAGAACTCGTGAGAACAAGAATTTTCCAAGATTGGCTGCTGGACTTTTGAATTCTCCAAGTGTTGAACAGGCTCAGAAACAATCTCCGAGGGAGAATCATGAACAGCTGATATATCTGAGGAGTTTTCGTAAGCAACTGAGCTTAAAGAATCTTGTGTGTTTGAAATCTCTAAACTGGGCTTAGATTCGTAAACAACAGAACTTGAAGAACCTTCGGGTTTTGGTTTCTCCAAACTAAGCTTCGATTCATAAACAACTGGATTTGAAGAATCTTGGGTGTTTGATGTCTCTAAACAAGGCTTAGATTCGTAAACAACAGAACTTGAAGAATCTTGGGTTTTTGGTTTCTCCAAACTGAGCTTCGATTCATAAACAACTGGATTTGAAGAATCTTGGGTGTTTGGTGACTCCAAACAGGGCTTAGATTCGTAAAGAACTGAACTTGAATAGTCTTGGGTGTTTGATTTCTCCAAACTGAGCTTAGATTCGTAAACAATTGAACTTGAATAGTCTTGGGTGTTTGATTTCTCCAAACTGAGCTTAGATTCGTAAACAACTGAGCTTGAAGAATCTTGTGTGTTTGAAATTTCTAAACAAGGCTTAGATTCGTAAACAACTGAACATGGACAATCTTGGGTACCTGAGGTCTCCAAACATGGCTTTGATTCGCAAACAACTGGATTTGAAGAATCTTGGGTGTTTGATGTCTCTAAACAAGGCTTAGATTCGTAAACAACTGAACGTGGACAATCTTGGGTACTTGAGGTCTCCAAAAAGGCGTTGGACTCGTGAACACTTGAAGTCACCAAGAAAGGCTCATGAGAACCTGAAATATCTAAGACTTTTTCTGTTGCTACTGATGGGTGGACCGGTTCTTCCTGGATACTAAATCCTGTGAAATCTGTAATCTCTCCAGGAGTTTCCGCAGAATGAAAACTATCAACTGATAGGTCACTAGGAAGAGATGAGTATTTGGGATTCTGTAGCTCTGGCTCTAATTGTATTTGATCTTGTTTTGCCACATCATTGTCCTTGTTTTCTAGACTGTCGTCTTCCAGAGTTTCAGAATTTGTCGATATGCCAATCCGTGGTGGTTCGAGAGAATCATTAAAACTCTTTTGACCAGAATTATCTACTTCCCCAACATCGAGGATATTAGAATGACCGTTTTGTTGTTCTATTCCTAGTTCGGAGGGTTTATTTATTATAGTTATCACCTTATCGGTATTTAGAGACTGATCGTTAGTTTCTTCCTTTGAATCATTGACGACATTTATATGTTGTTTTTCCATTATAACTGTCTGTCTGCAAACCTCCAAATAATGAATCCTCGTGAAAAATACTCAAAGAAGTACCACGTGATCTGAAATATGTCAGAATAATAATAATTAATTATATTTACTTAATCCAGGAGATAGTAGTATGCAGGCTAATCGTAAACTCTTTTTTTCACTTTAGTAAACTAACACAAATTGTCGACGTTGTGGTACTGGCATGAGTTTCAGTTATGTGTAATAAATCATTATTTCCTAAAATGATCACGTGCTCAAAAATATATAAAGAAATCAAACGGGGTGTAGGATACCTGCAACGGGAATTACTTAACAAAACCTAATAACAATTATTTTATAATAACAGTATTCCAAGTGTTCTATAAAACAACAATATTTGTTACAATAATAACAAGATATACACACAACCCTAAAGAACGATCTTTTATTAAAATATTGTTCTTTATTAAATTGTAAATAATTTATATAATCAACGAATAGAGAATGATGAAGAAAAAAAATGTACAAAATAAAGTTGTCGAAACTTTAATTTATTTATCGTTTCTTTAGGGAAAAACTTGCAGAAATACACAGTATAAGCGAGTAATACAAACTTACTTCCTTATTAATTTCTATCAGGAAAACAATCAAAGCGTAAACCCACTCTACAACTATCATTTTATGTAAATAGTACTAAGAATAATGGACACGATACTATAAAACCTTGTCAAGGTTTCTAGTAGAATAGCATGATATTCCCTTCTATTCATTCTCCAACAAAGTTGGACACTACTAAAACACAGCATTGTAACACTTTCATGGTCGTTAAGGATGGTGATTCCCTGAAGTAACTGGAATATAACAGTCAGTATCCTATGGTAAGATAATTCCCTGAAGTAATTAAAATATAACACTGGAGTAACTGGAATATAACAGTCAGTATCCTATGGTAAGATAATTCCCTGAAGTAATTAAAATATAACACTGGAGTAACTGGAATATAATACTTTGAGCTTCCTATAGTGATTTGTTGGAGGAATTGGATTATAGGAAATTATTTAGTTGACTATATGAACAAAATTAATTTTTATTTGTTTTATGGACTTGGGTGCTAGTTAAGGAACAAGGCTCATAATTGTATACCCACAAACAAGTACATGGACAAAACAAGGATTCAAATTCTTGGAGAATCTTTTCTATAATACTAGTCCTGGCCTCAATATGATGCTAAATGAGTACATATGATAATAATGCAGGTACTATACGACAGCATGAACACGTATTAAACCAAATCATATTTGAAAGGCATAACGAAGTAAAATTTGTTTGTCATTAAAATATTGTTTACCAACCGTACTAAACGACACGTATAGTGAACGTTCTGCTGTAAAAGCACGATTTGTTCAGTAAAACGTGACCAAGCATATCGTGGTGAAGGTTTTGTTTTTTGATAGAAACTTGGCAGCTTTTCAACCAGTTGTTCAGTGTTTTGTCTATGAATCGACAGGTGCTTTTATAACCCTACACTTTTGTTTGTTGAATTTCGCGCATAGCTAGACACGGACTATTTATACATATCCGTTCATAGTTTAAGGGTGATAGCTAGACTAGAGGAAAGGTAGCTAGTCATCACCACCCACCGCCTACTCTTGGAATGCTCCTGTCGCGTTGAATAGTGAGATTCGCCCGTCACTCTTGCAATGCACCCACGACCCCGTGTGACTTTTTTATGGTAACCCGCGGAACCTCAGAACCCCAGTCCGCCACGATATGCTAGGCCCCACGTACAGTTTACTTCCTCATAATCTCCTACTATTAGGACACTGTTAAAATCTTGTAGAATATCATAATCTCCTAACATAGCAATACTGGTAAAATACTGAACACGTTACAAAATAATACATGCACTAGAAAGTTTCTTAAAAGTTGTTTTTGTTTAATTTCAACAAAGAGTTTTTATCAATTTCTTATGAGACCTACTTGACGAATCGTCTATTTGTTTATCTGTATAGCTTAAGTGTAAGAGTACATTGCCAGCGGAAGTTCAAAAACATATTGTAATATGCCAACATTTGCTCCACGGTTTCAGATACCCCAGTAAGTTTAAAACTGGGGTAACAACAACTCTGGTGAGTGTGGTAGTGCTAGGAGTTTACTCTCAAACGTCGACACCTCTCGAGGGTCACAAATACTGAAAAGAAATAAACCTTAGGTATAAAAAATAACAGTCACTATTAATAATATTATATCACCTTGTTTTAGGATGTTGGAGGTAAAGAATCGTTAAAAAGGTGACGAGATATAATCCGGTTTTCGGTGGGAAAGTGACCTGAATATAACAATGGTAATAGGTAACAAAATCTTCAACCAGATTTCAGATAATCAAGTCAACTTCGTAAGAAAAGTGATAGAGAAAAAAATAGTATTTATTTTTGTTTTAAATTAATGTAGTTAAAAAAAACGTGTATATTTTTTTCGCGAACACTTATTTTTCTGTAGCGCCCTGAATTTTCAAAAAATCTTTCTTCAAACCATTGTACTTAAACATAACCAGCAGTGTAATATAAGCTCCTAACTTTTAAAATTTTAAATAAAATAATCTATGAAATTATTTTAATAACTTTATAGATGTCTCCCCGTGGGTCAGAGGTAAGTTTCTGGATTTATAATGCTAAAATCCGGGGTTCGATACCCTGCGGGAGATAGGGCGCAAATAGCCTATTGTGTAGCTTTGTGCTACAATATAACAGATTAAAGAAAACCACTGCTGGTATGTTAGAGGTGGATGAAGAGATGTGATAGAAAACATTACACGTCATTATTTCGCCAACGGTGCTTAGCAAATATGTTAATATATATAAATCGTGACTTATGTACGTTGTACATAGACATACCTGTTTATTAAGATCTGGATTGCGTGATAACTATAAGAGGTTAGGATAAAGCTGTAAATCTTGGATTAAATCTTATTAGGATAAAGCTGTAAATCTTGGATTAAATCTTATTAGGATAAAGCTGTAAATCTTGGATTAAACCTTATTAGGATAAAGCTGTAAATCTTGGATTAAATCTTATTAGGATAAAGCTGTAAATCTTGGATTAAACCTTATAAGGATAAAGCTGTAAATCTTGGATTAAACCTCATTAGGATAAAGCTGGACTAAAGAAAATCCTCCTTCAGGTAAAGGTAATGAGAAAGACTTAATGACCACACATTCAAAAGCTACATATCTTTGAATCTCATCAATTACGGAGTTTTAAAAGGAAGAATGAAGAAAATGATTAACTATTGTTAACAAGTTTTCATATGAAATTACGAGGTGTTAATCAATGTGGAGAATAAGAAAAAAACAACGTTCCCATTTCTAAAATAATTCAAATCATTAAACGTATAAAGACCTGTGAATTTAATTTCAACTTGTCAATTGTTTAAGGTCCACTGATTTTATGATAAAATAGTGCTTGTTTTCGAGCAGTTTCAAAGTAAGCCAAGTGAGATACGGTTTTTACTGAATAGTACCAGTCTGTTCTTACGCTTTTCATTGCTTATAAATAATACTGACAGTAGTATTTCAAATGAATATAACTGCTTGTTAGTCTTGTGACCACAGCATAATCGACTGGACTGTCTACTCAGAAACATCGAACAACCTGGTGTCTTCCGTCTGTTTTTAAGTCCTTACAGTAGGTAAATCTGTTTTTCGGATTTATTCGATTTCGAGATATTAAGGCATTTATTATTAAGATCACATTCATGGGGTGAAAATATGCGATCGTTTCTGTTAAGTTAAGAAAGGCCTTGCATAAAACAAATCAACCAAAAACTACAGAGGTTTTCAGTTTCACGAGTTCTTATAATATTACAGCATGACTACAATTCAATGAATCGAAGACGCTGTTCGAAATTATTTTTATTTTATTTTCGGGCAAACGTTTGTGTCATTTCATAAGGAAGATTTCTCTCGGTGGGTCAGTACTAAATTTACGGACTTTCTCAACACTAAAATCTGAGGTTCAATTACCCGCGATAGTCAGTTAACCCACTGTGTAGCTTTGCGTTAAGAAAAGCAACAACAACACACACCAACAATTAAAAGTGGGCCATCGCCCATCTGCATAGAACACGCTGTACGATGTTTTCCGAAACGCCAAATTTAACTTTTTCTGTGTGGTAGTTAGGTTTAATCCAAGATTTACAGCTTTATCCTAATAAGGTTTAATCCAAGATTTACAGCTTTATCCTAATAAGATTTAATCCAAGATTTACAGCTTTATCCTAATAAAATTTAATCCAAGATTTACAGCTTTATCCTAATAAGGTTTAATCCAAGATTTACAGCTTTATCCTAATAAGGTTTAATCTAAGATTTACAACTTTATCCTAATAAGGTTTAATCCTAAGATTTACAACTTTATCCTAATAAGGTTTAATCTAAGATTTACAGTTTGGATCTTATTGATTTTTGAAACAATTTTTCTAAGTTGATTATGTACCAAACTGATTGTGGGTCCATTACTTTGTTCGTTACAGGATCCCTAATAAAAATGTATCAGATAGTATTGAAATTAATCCTACTAATTACTGCTGGAGTTTTCTATGTATTTTACACATAAAAAAAGAGTGATTACACTCAATATTTTGGTTAGTTCTTCACACTGAGTACTGTAACAGGCAAAAACATTAAATTGCTGAATATGATGTAATATTTGAACCTCATAAGTAATGAACATTATGGAAAGAAGACGTTAATTTGAAGGTTAATAGAAGTTTTAATAGATACTTTGCCTACTTTGTACAAGAACGCCTTCATTAACTCATTAGTACCAATTAATGTGAATAATCTCTGCATGTAAGATAAAAAAAAAGATTTAAAGAAAAGAAATTGTATCTGTCAATGTATTATTTCTGTATTTACTATAAATATGGTCGTTTTATTTTAATATTGTTTTGCCCCCCAGTAGCACAGCGGTATGTGTGCGGACTTACAACGCTAGAATCCGGGTTTCGATACCCGTGGTGGGCAGAGCACAGATAACCCAATGTGTAGCTTTGTGCTTAACTTCAAACAAACAAAAGTTTTATTTTATTGTA